CTATTGTTTTGTTTTTGATACTGAGGATTGAACTCAGGGGCACTTAATCACTGAGCCACATCCCCACCCCCTCTTTTGTATTTTATTTACAGACAGAGTCTTCCAGAGTTGCTTAGTGCCTTGCTAAATTGCTGAATCTGGCTTTGAACTCGAGATCCTCCTGAAGTTGGACTTGAGCTTGCAATCCTCCTGCCTCAGCCTCCCAAGTCGCTGGGATTACATGCATGCAAATCCCTCCTTTTCTGCATGCTTCCTGGTGTAGTTGGGAAAAGATGGAGGCCCCCCCCCCCAATCATTGCTATGATATCCAGTGTATTAAGTGCCCCTACCCAGACCTCTTGGTGGTGACCACTCTCCCCTGCTTGCTTCTTATTTCACCATTGAGGACTATCTATCCCATGTAATCTGCAGGGAATCCTGGATTACAGGCTTCTTGCCTTTCTGTGGTACTTGGGGGGGGTCAGTGCCTATTCATCCCTCTTGTCTCTTCCCTCCTTCCCCACCGGTTCCCCAACCCCTTGTGGGCACCGAGAGGCAGATGCAATCTTATCCAGCCCTCCCTATGGCATCCTGCTCCCCTGCACACCCTGTTCCCATCTCAGTTCCTGGGGTGGTAGTCGGCATGCTCAGAACCTGAGTTGCTCTATTTGGGGGAGAGAACACTGGAGCATTTCTTTTTCCCCTCTAGAAGAATGGAAAGATCTGTCCTGGGTGAATTAGGTGAAAAGCTGGTTGTTGGGATGCCTCACTGAGCTCACAAGCCAAGATCCAGAGGCGTCAAGAGGAGTTCAGGGTTGAGGTGGGAAGCAGGTGCAGACTGGGGGTGGGGGGCGGGCAGCCTACACTGGCCTGCCTGGCTTGGCCTCCCAGGAGACTTGGCCATCTTCCACACCAACACCAGCTCAGAAGAGGTGGACAGGCTGATGAGGAGGAGCCCTAAATTTGTTTTTATTTATTTATTTACTTATTTATTTTTTGAGGACAGGAATCTCACTATGTTGACAAGGCTAGTCTCCAAATACTGGGCTCAAGAAATCCTCCCATTGGGGCTGGGGATGTGGCTCAAGCGGTAGCGCGCTTGCCTGGCATGCGTGCGGCCCGGGTTCAATCCTCAGCACCACATACAAACAAAGATGTTGTGTCCGCCGAGAACTAAAAAATAAATATTAAAAAAAAAAAAAAAAAAGAAAAGAAATCCTCCCACTTCAGCCTGGCGACTAACAGGGACTCCAGGTGTCTACCACTGCACTTGACTAGCCCTGAATTTGAGATCTAAAAATCTGGGTTCACTAAATGATTGTTCTACTGCAGAATGCCGTCTGACCTCCACTTCTGGGCTAGTTTTTAACATGGGATAATTATCCTTGTCATGCCATATATATATCTTTTTAAATTGTGGTTTGGGGTCGAACTCTAGCATGTTTTACCACTAAGCTATATCTACAAACCTTTTTCTTTTCTTTCTTCTCCTTTCTTCTTCTTCTTTGGTACCAGGGATTGAACCTAGTGGTACTTAACCACTGAGCCACATACCCGAAACTTTTATTTTTAATTTTGAGTCAGGGTCTCACTAAGTTGCTGAGGCTGACCTCAAACTTTGTGATCCTCCTGCCTCAGCCTCCTGACTGGGTGGAGGCTGAAGCAGGATGATCACAAGTTCAAAGCCAGCCTCAGCAACTGATCAAGGCTCTAAGCATTTTAGTGAGATTCTTTCTCAAAATGACAAATAAAAAGGGCTGGGGTTGTACCTCCGTGGTTAAGCTCCCCTGGGTTCAATCCCTAGTGCCAAATAAGTAAGTATATATATAAGTAAGTATATAAATAAATGGGAGTACTGGGCTGTGAGGGATAAGAAACAGTCTTGAGGTCAAGTACTAGACTGCCATAAACAAAGACAGGCAAGCTCTAAATATACTGCAGTGGTGTTTGGATCCTACACAAAGTGCACGAAGGAAGAGAAATCAAGGTACAGGGTGGGGATGTTGCTTGGTGGTGGGGTGCTCGGTGTGCACGAGGCCCTGGGTTCAACCCCCAGGACTGAAAACAGACAAATGACAACAAAAAAAAAACCAAGAGACAGAGAGCAGGGTGCAGAGGACTGTGAGGAGTGAACATTTTGCTGGAGGCCGTGGTGCACACCTGTAACTTGTCATCCCAGCAGCTTGGGAGGCTGGAGGATCACAAGTCCAAAGCCATCCTCAGCAGCATATGGAGGCCCTAAGCAACTCAGCAAGACCTTGTCTCCAAATAAAATATGAAAAAGGACTGGGGATGTGGCTCCGAGGTAGGGCTCCTGGGTTCAATCCCTGGTACAAAAAAAAAGAATAGGCATATTTGGAATCTAGCCACTCTCGGCACGCTGTTGCTCTAGTCTGACCTGACCTGCCAAGGTGTCCATCTGTGCTGGGCTTCTTACCTCCTAAAGGTCTTGAACAGTCTACCCTTATTTTCTAAAGTCTATTCTCAGCATAGCAGCCAGTATGAACCTTTTACGTAAAAACTTAGTTCATGTTTGATACCAGGCAAGTTCCTCATTCACTCAGCATAAAAGCTCAAGTTTGGGGCTGGGGTTGTAGCTCAGTGGTTGAGTGAGCGCTCGCCTGGCATGCGTGAGGCACTGGGTTTGATCCTCAGCACCACATAAAAAATAAAGATACTGTGTGTGTGTGTATAAAAGCTCAAGTTTTTTTTTTTTTTTTTTACAGTACTGGGGTTTGAACCCAGGGGTGCGCTACCACTAAGCTATACCCCCAGCCCTTTAATTTTTTTTTTCTTTTTAAATTTTGAGTTGGGTTCCATGGTATATACCTGTGATCTCAACCACTGGGGAGACTGAGGCAGGAGGATCGAAAGTTCAAGGCCAGCCTCAGCAATTTAGTGAGGCTCTTAACAATTTAGTGAGATCTTGTCAAAAAATAAAAAGGGCTGCGGATGTAGTTTAGTGGTAAAGTATCTTTAGGTTCAATTTCTAGAACCAATTTTTTTTTCTATTTTGAGACAGGGTCTGGCCTCAAACTTGTGATCCTTTTGCCTCAGCCTCTTTGTTAGCTGCGGTTACAGGCATGCACTACCACTACCCAGTTTAAAAAACATATCTTACCCAGTGCAGTGGCACTTGCCTATAATCCCAGCAGCTTGGGAGGCTGAGGCAGTAGAATTGCAAGTTCAAGACCAGTATCAGCAATTTAACGATGACCTAAGCCATTTAGTGAGACACTATCTCAAAATAAAAAACAAAAAGGCTGGTATGTTGCTCAGTTTTTAAGTGTCCCTGGGTTCAATCTCAGGTACCAAAAATAAAAGTAAACTAAAATAGTTCTTATTTGGGCTGTCCTTCACCCACCCACTCTCATCTCTGGTCCAACTTTTAATTTTTTCCCCATAGTATCTATCCCAATTATATCAACATACTTTAAAAAGTCTATAGTTTATCTTCTGTTGTCACCCACTGGAATGTAAACTTCACAAGTACAGGGATCTGCTTTGTTTATTGCTGTATCCAAAACACCCAGACTTACATACAGCAGACAGTCAATTATATTTGTTGAATGAATGAATGAAGATCCAGACCTGCATAACTATCTCTGGAATGTTCTTCAAGAAGTTGTCTACTGTGGTTATCTTCAAGGGAGGCAGGCAGGGAGGCTGGGGGATAGGTGTAGGAGACTTAATTTTTACTACTAGAGTTCTTTAAGTGGGGTGCGGTGGGACAGACCTGTAATCCCAGTGATCCGAGGAAGCTGAGCAAGTTCAAGGCCATCCTCAGCAACTTTGCAAGACCCTATCTCAAAAGTTAAAAATGACTGGGGAGAAGGCTGTGGTTGTAGCTAAGTGACAGAGCGCTTGGCTCACATCTGTGTGGCACTGGGTTCGATCCTCAGCATCCTATAAAAGTAAATAAATAAAATAAAGGTATTGTGTCTATCTACAACTAAAAAAAAAAAAAGACTAGGAGTAAAGAACGCCTGTGGGTTCACTTCACTCCCTAGAACTGCAAAAAAGAAAAGAGAATTCCTTACTTTAGGCATATACTACCTTTACAAAAAGGAAAAAACCCAGAGAGAAAGGAGTTAACTAAGAAGGGTGAAGAAGAGCTCATCCCAGAGAGGGAGCAAGAGGGCCCCATATACCGGATCAGGCCAGTGTCCCAGATGAGAAAGGGGGATGAGCAACACTTGGGCCCACGGAGGTCCGGAACTCTGAATGGCGATCCCAGCGGGACACTGAACAAGCCCTGTTGCTGGCCTTGCGGTTGTGGGAGGCCGTGGGGGGGGCGTGTGAGTAAGCGTGAGCAAGATGATGGGCACAGGTACCTACCGCTGGGAGTCTTTTGGGAAATCCTGTTATTGGCTTCCAAGGGGAAGCGAGGAGTCAATTCTACTCACTGAAACGGTTGGTGTCCTGATAGGAGTCGTGCCCTGATAAGCCTGGTAGCTCATGGGGCCCACTTCCTCCACAAACTGGGAATAGCCTGGTGCTTCCCTAAGCTCCTCAGAGGCAGGGAGCTCCTACACCAGGTCCTCTATCTGGGGAAGGGTTGAGTCCCTCGGGTGGCCCTTCTAATACCCTGGCCTCACAGAACACACCAAGCTGGACCCCTTGCTATACATAGGTGGGAGGATCCTGGCCTTTCTCCCCTCCACTCTCCCCACCCAGGTACGAGTGAGTCAGGAAACCTGGATTTCAATGTCACTTCTGTCCCGGACAACGTCCTTCCCTCCTTGGTCTGCACTCTGGCTCGAAGACTCCTTCAGTGCTGACTTTGGTCTCCTTCCCCCTTAGACATTTGGAACTTTTGGCCTCAAAGCCTTTTTATTATACGTATAGTTCAGCGATTCTCAGAGATCTTAGGGCACAGCCCATGCCTGGTACTAAGAGCACGGTGAGATCACCCATCTGGGCTGGCGGGCTCACTGTGCCAGGCGTAGAGGTGTGCCAGGTCCTGCGGTAGTCTTACTGGAGCGCCGGCCAGCAGGCCAGACTCCCGCTCACCAGAGGTTCGACAGAGGCAGAGGCTGGGGACTGAGGTCCAGAGACGAGGCTAGTCTGGCAGATGGCACAGCTCAAAGCAGGATCCACACTTCACTCTTCAGTCGTCGTTTGTGGCCCACCTGTCCTTGGTCAGGCACAGCCGGCCCCAGGAGTCTTGATGGGGCTACAGAAGAGAATAGGGGAGCTGAGAGGCAGGCTGGGCTACACAGGCCGCAGCCACACCCCCGTCTGACCCTGGGCCCACCTGAGCGGTGCCAGCCATGCTGTCAGCGGTAGAGGACGCCGCTCCCTGGCGTCATCAGTCCAGCAGCTCCTTGATACACCAGCAGCAGAGCAGTATGTAGGCCACTTCCTTCAGGGTTCGCTGCAGGCCCTCCCACCCTGTGCCCATCTTAATGACAGGCACACGGAGCCCAGCGTCTCGCAGGACCCCTCCAAGGGAGAAGGGTAAGGCCTGGGTTAGGGGCTGTGTCCTGGGCTGCATGTGGGCAGCGGTGCTGAGGAAGGGTGTGGGAGCTGCCTTTGGTGCCTTTTATCAACTGTCCCCACCCCCTTCAGGCCTCATGACTAGACACAAAGGCCCCAGGGCCTAGCAAAGGAACATTCTGGGCCTGGGAAAAGGCTGAGTCAGCCCCTCTGGACAGGGATGGGGTGGGGTTAGTGGGGGAGGGCCTGGGCACTCCATCTCCACAGCCAGGCCACCTCAGCGTCCCTTCCTCCAGCTTGGGTGGGCCTGTCTGGTTGCCCCTTTCTCCGTGGTCAGCACAACTCCTCCCACCTTGGTGGGCTCTGGATGCGGCTGGCGTTGAGAATCGTCCAGGAGTGCTCCCTTCCGTCTGTCCCATCCTACCCCTGGTTCCTCAGGGTGGGCATGACCAGCTTCGAGCTCGCAGGTCTGGCCACTTCTGTCCCTCATCCCTCGGAGCACAAAGACACAGCCAGAGCCACAGCACAGTGAGAGGCTGGTTTATTGACAGGCACTCCCCTCCCCCCTCCACAAGGGAGGTCACATGCGGGAGTTCCGCTCCTCGTCTTCATTCTCCAGGAGGTAGGCTGGACGGTAGGTGGGGTGTCCTCCTGGGCCTAGGCACTTCAGGGCTGGGTTCTGTACTGTGTTCTCTCGACTCCCCAGAGACGTGTACCTGGAGAGCGGAAACGGAAGGCCAGTGAGTGACGGTAGGCTCTCTGGGGGGCTCCCCTATCCCAACACCTTCACACCCCCACACCCATTCTGCTCCCCTAAACTTACCCTCGGTCATACAGGATACAATATGGGACAAACAGCTGACGCAGAAAGTCCCAGATGTTTCTATAGGTCCAGTCCTGGGAGGTCAGAGTCATAGAACAGTCACATTCTCTCCCCTGCCCCTTGGCTCTGAGGGAGGGAGGCTTGCTGTCTGGTTCTGTGGTGCACCTTGCTCTGTGCAGACTAAGCAGCGAGACAGGAGGCCTCCGTCCTCTACCCTCTCCATTCTCGAGCCACTCTCACTGACGTGTCACATCCCCAACATGGAAGGACTGTGTGTCTCAGTCGGTGCTGCCAGGCTCGGCTGTCTGCCAGGACGGACATATCTGTGCGTCTTACGGCAGTGACTCGAAACATGGCTACTATAATTGAAGAAATGAATTTTAAATTGTTCTTAATTTTTAAAATTGAGATATAAGCCAGGCATAGTAACTCATGCCTATAATCCCAGCCGCTTGGGGGGCTCGGGTTTGAGGCCACTGGGCAACTTTGTGAGATTTGTTTCAAAATAAAAAATAAAAAGGCCTGGGGGTGTAGCTCAGTGGTCAGCATGCCCCTGGGTTCAATTCCCAGAACCAAAAAATATTTTTGAGCTAAAATAATTCACATGTCATCTTCTTCATCCTGTGAAAGTATTTTAGTAACTTGTATTTAACTTCAGTTATAACCTAAGTATGAATAAATAGCTAATGGCTGTCATATTGGAGAGCACAGGTCACTGGTCCACAGTAAAAAGTACAATGCTCAATAAATATCTGTTGAAGAGATGAATGAACAAACAGCACTGCCTCCCTTGGATGGTGGGGCCCCTTCATCCACGAGTCAGGCCCTGGCCTCCTTCCCCAGGGGAGCTGGGGTGCCATGACTGACAGGGCCCAGGAGACAGAAGGCATTACCAGCAGTGGGTTGATGCGCATGAAGGAAGGCCAGCCGGGGTCGGTGGGACTGAAAGGGCAGAGGCTACAGGAATAGGGATCCGTCCGGCGAGTGCCCATCAGGACAGCCTCCAACTGGGGGTGCTGTGTCTGCAGCTCACACAGGGCCTGCTTCATGTCACCCTCAGCCTCCAACACATGCAGATTATACCTTAGGAAGAGAGAGGTGGAGGTCAGAGGGGGACCTGCCAAGCTCCTCTTGGAGCCCAAACCTCCGGCCTCTAGTACCTCTTGATAGTGTCCTGTAGAAACTGTTCCAGCTCAGGAAAAGGGGAGATGCTGCGGATATACAGGATCTGCAGGGGCTTGGGGACATCAGGAAATTTCCTGGGGAAGGGGAAGGATTCATCAGGTTGCTGGCATAGACAGGGAACTTGGCTCTCTGGAGAGCACACTCTCTCTTTGTTGCATGGGATGGACACCCTCCCTTTCTCCCTCATTTTTTTTAATCTAGCCGACCCACTTCCTATGGGAAGCCCACTCCAATTGCTCACTTCTTGAACCTGAGCGTCCCTATGTATGGATTGATATTTCTGGTAAATATCACCTCCCCAATGTGACTGTGACCCACTTGTGCTCGGGGATGGTGGCCTGCACCTCTATATCCAGGGCCAGGCATGCGCCAGATGCTTGATACACAGGGTGGGAGAATGGAACAGAGAGGTCACTGGGGCTACCTCCCTTCCTAGCCCCTATGTCCTGGCCTCCTCTCCGCTTCCTGGGATGGGGAACTAGAGGGATTAGGTGTCCTGAGGTGGGCTCACCTCTGCACAGCTGCGTGGAAGAGGTGCAGGAGGGCGGTGCAGTCCTTGCCCCCGTTGAAGCCCACACAGAGCTGGTTGAGATGGTACCGAGCCAGGGCAGTCTCAATGGTCTGTAGGGCACCTGCTACCTTTTTCCCCAGAGAAGACCCTGCCAGGCAGGCAGGGAAGTGGGCATCAGGAATATATAGCTGTTGAATGGGGCATGTTGCCCTTGCTTAAAGCCCTTTAACCTCTTCCCGTGTTCTTAGGATTAAGTCTAAACTCCTTCATGCTGTCCCCTGGCCTTTGCAGTCTGTCCCCTGCCTGCCATTCAGCCACCTGCCCTTACTTCCATTCCCCTAAACCCCAAGCTGTTCCTCCAGGTCTACTTCCATTCTCTTTGCTCTTGGCCCACCCCCTGGTCCAATCAAATGCTCCTTATCACTCAGCTCTTTTGTTACTGGGTCAGAAAAGCTGTCTCTGACCCTAGATCAAGGCTGATCTCCCAAATGTGGAATCCTCTTCGTTCACACCTCATGTATGGTCCCCTGCTTCACATCCACCCCTCTGGTTAAACCACTGATCCAGAAGAGCAGAGCATACATTTGTCCATGTTGTCCAGCACGGTGCTGGTGAGAATGGGCACTCAATCAATATTTCTTAGAAGGAATTAATCAATACTATTTTCTACTTTCTCTCAGAATTGTGGGAAGCCCCCCGCCATCAGGTCCTGCGTTTCTAAATCTTGGATGGCACCAAAGGCCGGTACATGCTGCCCTTCCCCGAGGAAGGCCCCTACCTGATTGAGCGAGTTTGTATACAGCCTCACTGGCTTGCTCCACGGCGTTGGGCATGTAGGAGACCAGCGACCCCTGGGGCAGACGGGCAGTCAGGTAGGCCAGGCATTCCTCCAGTGGTCCTTCTTCCTCAGAGTCTAGAGTCAGCTTCACCTGATAGTAGTTGCTGCCCCAGTCAGGGTAGGAGCCCAGGCCAAGCCTCCGCCCAAAGTGGGCCTGGGCCTCCGCAAGGATGGGGGCAATAGAGGTTTCAGCAGCAGCCACATACAGCTCCTTGGAGTGGAAACGAACAGCTGTGTTCTGGAACAGTCCCTTTAGCCCCTCCAGCACCCGCCGCAGCAGCTCCGGAATGCCTGGGAAGAGGTAGACGTTCCGGACAGAGACCAGCGGGAATCGGAAGGGGCGGCCAGTGCGAGGATCTATGCCGTAATGCAAGCGGGCAGAGGAGGGCACCAGGGACAGCTTCTCCCAGCCCTGCCCTCCTAGGGCTTTGATGGCCTCTTCCAGCTCAGGATGTGGCTTCAGCTCCTCCCCGAAAGCCTGGGCAACTGCCTCAAAGGTCACATCATCATGAGTGGGGCCGATGCCCCCTGCAGTGAGAACATGGGTAAACCGGCTAGAGAAAGAGGTGACCTCGGCTGCAATGGTGGCTACTTCATCAGGCACAACAGAGACTCGGCACACCTGGACCCCCAGGGAGCGCAGTGTCCGGCACAGAAAGTAGGTGTTGGTGTCTTGAGTGTGTCCCTGGGGGTTGGGGAGGATGAGACTGTCAATACCATGGGGATGAAAGGCAGGGGGACTATAGCTACATCTGTCTGATGATGGGTACTCTGCTCTTTGAGGTCACCCCTTCAGGCTGCTGAGCCTGGGCTGGGTGGGAAAATCCCCTGGAATGTCATCAAGAGATTCACCTTGGGGCCCTCTGCTCTTTGATCTTGACCTTACGTATATTTATGGACTCAGTTATCAATTCTCTGTGGGCGATTTGTCCATCTCCTTACCAGTCCTGACAGTTTCAGTCTCCTGACTCCAAGTGCTTACTGGGCAGCCTCACTGTATCCCTGGCTATTGTCACTTCAGTCAGTGGCATCCCAGACACTGTCTACAGCCAGTCAGACTCTTTATTCTGTCAACTCTACTGAAATGTCTCCCCATCTGCTCTCCTCTGTTCCCAGTCACCAAACAGGTCCTTGGCACCTTTCACCTGGTCAATGGCAACAGCCTCCTGGCCGAGCTCCCAGCCTCCAGCCACGGTGCTTTGCTCTGTGTCTTCTGAGTAACCTTCCTAATGCGTCACTGTGATTGCATCACTTTTGGGCTCAAGAGCCATTTGTTGTTTCCAACTGTATGCAGAATAAAGTTCAAATTCTTTTGCAAGTATTTAAGGCTGTCTGTGGTGTGTATCCTATCCTCTTTTCCAGCCCCATCTCCTTCTACCTCTCTATATAGGTTAAGAGTGTGTTCTGGAGTAAGGAAGAGTCATGCTAGAATTCCATTTCTACTACTTTCTAGGTGTGTAATCTCAGGCAAGTTTCTCAACCTCTCTAAGCCTCAGTTGCGTAATCTATTTATTAACTGAGATTCACAATAAAAGCACCAACTTCATGGAATTGTTGTGAGGCTTAGTAAAATCACATTTGTGATGTAATAAGCATACTGCTAGCCTCTACTAAGCACTCAAAAAATAGTGTTTACTATTACAAACCTGATGCCCTGCCATGTCCTCTAGTAATACCCTTGATCATTCAGAAGGAATTCCTCTTCCTTCTATCTCATTTATCCACTTTGCTGAGTGCCTTGAATCATTTCCAAATAGGCTGGATATAAACTTTATTTATTTGTTTTTGTACCAGGGATTGAACCCAGGGATGCTTAACTACTGAGCCACATCCCCAGCCCTTTTTACTTTTTGAGACTGGGTCTCAATAAGCTGCCTAGGGCCTTGCTAAGTTGCTGAGGCTGGCTTTGAACTTGTGATCTTCCTGCCTCAGCCTCCTGAGCCTATGGGCTTATAGGCCTGTGCCACCAGCCTGGATATAACTCTTAAATATATAATATGTGCATTTTTATCTCCTCTACTTGCTAGGCTTCCTGTCACTGCCGGGTAGTCCCTACGTCCCCTACTATACTACTTGGAAAAATGGGGACATTGCTACAACTTTTTTTAGTGGAGTAATTTGAAAGAAAGTGAATCCAATATGTTGGACTCACTCCAGGAATCTACTGTGGTAGGCAAGGGGACTCCCACCCTAGTTCACCTCCCTCAACAGGATGGGGAGCAAGCTCTTAAGGTCAGGAGAAAGCCGCACCCTCCCCTTCTTCTGTCCCAGACACACCTTGAGGATCTCATCTCCAACAATGATGATGCCCGCCGTCACGCTGCGCCCCTGGGGAAGTTCAGAGGCCCTAGATGCCATGGTCCTGCCTTCTCTTTCCCTTTGGAAGGCCCTCCGGTAGCCACCCAGACCCCCAAGTAGGGGCCGCAAACACCGGGGGACTGCCAGGTCTACAGGGCACTGGGGGCCATAGCCTGGGAACAAGGTCCGGGATGGAGAGAACCTAGAGGAGCCAGAAAGGACAATGGAGGAGAGGAGGAGCACAGTTCCTTCTTAGGATATGACTTACCGTCTTCTCTAACCAGACCCTTCATAACCGACTCTTATTACTGCCTCTTCAATAAACGTGTTCTAAAATCCCAACCCATGCTCATATAAATGACTTCGATGCTTGGCTCTAGTCTCCTTAAAATGTCCTTCTCTCCCGAGAACCTAGCACTTTAAATGTCTCCGGTGTGCGGAACTGGTCGTCTCAAGAGTTTGTTCTATCTTGGGCATCTGCACCTTTAAATGTCTCTTGTCTTCGGGGCTTCTGGCCCTTTAAATTTCTACCTTATCCTGGGCCTTGGCTCCTTTAAATGCGCTCCCTCCCTCCACCCGCGACCAGAACCCTGTCGCCTTCCCCCGCAGCCTCCTGCACCCTTTCTAGTCCGGGATCCCCTCTTTCCACCGCGCTTCTGACTGCTGAGCTCTTCCAGGCTCTCACCTGCCTATTTTGTACCTTTACCGGGTCTTTTCCTCGCTCCTTTCCTCAGGTCCCGGGTCAACTTCCGCACTCAAAGTCCCGCCTTGCATTGCCCCGTACGGATTGGCTACTCCGGCTGTCACTTAGACGCTCCCCAATGGTCCTATTGGTAAAGCCGACTGTCGCTCTCAGGCTTTATCCAGCAGGCACGGGCAATATCATGTTGCTATTGGCAACCACCACGTTCGCCGGAAGCGTGGGGGCCGGCTTCGGTCCAGGGCGGGCGTGGGTAGGCGGGACTTAGGAGTTCGGGGCGCGAAAGTTGCAGTTGGAAGTGTTGTCAGTACTTTGGGGTGTCGTGCTGGAGTAAGCGGAGGCTTTCTGATCTCCCAGACTCTATGCATATGCTGTTTTCAATAACCATGACTCTGATTCTAGGGGAAGGGGTCAGGGGCTGGTGTCCAGCATTTTTTATTATTAATGTATTTGGTACCGGGCATTGAACCCAAGGGGACTTATCCACTGAGCCACATCCCCAGCCCTCTTTATATTTTACTTAGAGATAAGGTCTGGTTAAGTTGCTGAGGCAGGCTTTGAACTCCTATCCTCCTGCCTCAGCCTCTCGAATCACTAGGATTACAGGCCTAAAGCACCCGGCCTGGCTCGGAATTTTTATTTTATTTTTGGGTGTGTGTGGGGATACCAGGGGTTGAACTCAGGGGCACTCAACCACTGAGCCACACCCCCAGCCCTATTTTATATTTAGAGACAGCTTCTCACTGAGTAACTTAGCGCCTCACTGTTGCTGTGGCTGCCTTTACCTCGTGATCCTCCTGTCTCAGCCTCCTGAGACATTGGGATTACAGGCCTGCGCCACTGCGCCTGGCCTGGAATTTTTATTTTTGAAGATGTAATCGAACCTCAAGCAATCCTCCTGCACTCAGCTTCCCCTGCAGCTGGAACTACAGGGGCATGCTATTGAGTTCAGCTGGGATTTTATTTTGTAACAGAAGAAAGCTGAGGGAGATAGGATGTCTATCATTGCCTGTGGGATAGGAGTCTTGGAGTAGGGGAGCTTTTAGTGTGAACCTTCATTTGTCTTTAATATAAGTGATAAAATTACTTAAGATCTCTTAGAAAAGAAAAAGTAAAAAGCCTCTCCTGCTCCACGGTGTTCCGGATGCTTGGTTCAAATGTCACCTCTCAGTTTTCGGTCCTGAAGGGAAAGACAGTAAATAGGGAGGGAATGCCTTAGGTGTTCACTTTGGAGTCTTAATTACATCAGCCTGGTTACTCATTTCCGTTGCAAAGAAAAGTGCTTCATAACTTGAACCATCTGGGGATGGTTTTAATTGGCAGATAATGATTCAGGTTTGGGTGGGCCAGAAACTTGCGTTTCTCCAGCTCCCATGTGCTGACCACATTTTGGTTTCTGGGCTGTTTTTAGTAAAAGTTAACATTTATTTGGAGAACTGCTGAACTACACCTGGCCTCATTTTACTCTAAAATCGTGTAAGATAAATATCAAGCCCAGTTTACGGGAGTAGAAAAGTGAAGGGAAGCCACCCAAACATACGTAGATTCTTAAGTAATAAACCCTGTGGTTTGTTATTTTTTTCCAGTTTTTAAAAAAAACACCACCACTTACTTGCCTAATGACATAAGTCACATGCTCCAATTTTTTTTTTTTAAGAGAGAGAGAGAGAGAGAGAGAGAGAGAGAGAATTTTATTATTTATTTTTCTTTTTAGTTTTCGGCGGACACAACATCTTTATTTGTAATGTGGTGCTGAGGATCGAACCCAGGCCCCTTGCAGGCCAGGCAAGCACAGCTACCGCTTGAGCCATATCTCCAGCCCAATCAAATATTTTTGTTGTAATGAAGGTTTGACATTTGACCCCGTCTCAAAACATCAACTCTGGGGGCTGGGGATGTGGCTCAAGCGGTAGCGCGCTCGCCTGGCATGCATGCGGCCCGGGTTCGATCCTCAGCACCACATACCAACAAAGATGTT